TAGGGCTATAGGGTTTAGGGTTTAGGGTTTAGGGTTTAGGCTTAGGGTTTAGGGTTTAGGGTTTAGGGTTTAGGGTTCAGGGTCTCGAGGTTCAAAGGGGTTTTGGAGGCTAGGGTTTAGAGTTTCGGAGGTTAGGAATTTGGTGTGTTGCGATGTTAAGTGGGGCTTACGGCCGAGGCGTGAGCAGAGACTTCAGCTGGGTTTTGGAGTACTATACTTCAATACTTTTTTGGTTCTGGGTTCCAATTAGAGCTGCTTTTTCCTAAAAACTCCAAAGTAGGGTCAGTGTGGGCTTCTTCTTGGGCTATAGGTCCCTCAAGCTTCCTTGGTATCTGCTTGGCTCTTGGCACAGGGAGACGGTTGATCTCGGTCGGGGTTCAGGGTTTAGGGTTTAGGGTTTCAGGGTTTTAGGGTTTCGGGTTTTAGGGTTCACAGGGTGCTCAAAATTCCCAGAGAACCCGGGCGCTTGAAAGAGCGTGCCAGGTGTCGAAAATTCCCGGCATACTCCAACACCTGCGGTCTCAGCCTATCTCGGACGTCGACCACATGATGCCCGGCGGCTTTCATCCCAGACCGACACCCCAACGTGCCCAACTGGTTTAGGGTTTAGGGTTTAGGGTTTAGGATATTAGGGCTACACCACTCCCGGTGATACATTGGCCCCTAAACAGTTCGAAAATAAACGACAGCGAGCTGACATGTGCAGACCATGTACCCTCAACTCCCGTGTGTGCTCTTGGTTCATGAACCTGAAATACCTGGGACTGGTTTTTGCCTACAGTTTGGTAGTCAGTACCCCCTATTTGAGTAGGTAACAACCCTTAAAGCTGTAGGTACATAGGGTCACAGTTAGATATACGGTTGTTAACTCTAGAACATGGGAGTTCGAGGGACGGCTGCGCCCTGTCTCCGCCAAGTGATCTCAACCCTGTGACAGGCTCTGCTGACCTAAACCCTTAACCCAACGAAGACGACTATTTGTTTGAGAGCCCCTCCAAAATCAAAATGTACCCTTCCTTACAAAGGGCAAGCTTGGGATTGTTGTCTTTTGTTTTTTGGGCGAGTTCTTAATCAGATGGTAGAAAGAACCAGTTCAGCTTCGCTCTGAAAGCCCTGGAGATTCCGAGGATGCTCCTCCCTGAGGCCGACAGCGGCCCGACGAAGGGATTCAGGGTTTGTAGGGTTTGGGGTTTTAGGGTCGTAGGGTTTAGGGAAGTTGTAGGGTTTAGGGTTTCTAGGGCCTTTTCTAGGGTGTAGGGGTTGTAGGTTTGTAGGCTTTAGGGCTTTAGGGCTTCAGGGGTTTAGGGGTTTAGGGTTGAGGGGCTTAGGGTTTAGGGGTTGTACGGGTCAGGGTTTAGGGGCTAGTAGTTGTTCAGGGCTGGTATGGTTGCTTACGAGAGGGAGCCCGGGAGAAGCAATGCAGGGCCCACAATTCCAGGGACCCCCTTTTCGGTTTAGCGTTTAGGGTTTAGGGTTTAGGGTTTAGGGTTAGGCAAGAGGTCGCTTTGACATAGGCAGGACACAATTCTAAACAAAGACGGACCGCTAAAGCCGGACCTTTCCATGGATCAACCCCGCAAATCAGTCCAGCCGCCAAGCCCGTCAAGGCTTCCCACTTCTTAACAAAGGAATACACCTTGAGATTTGCAAAGAGGATTCCTCTCTAAACCCCAAGCTCCGCAAGGTTCAGTGCTTAATTCAGGGTTTAGGGTTTAGGCTTTAGGGTTTGGGGTTTAGGGTTTAGGGTGGTTATCCTTGCCAAGGCCCCGCTCCATGCAGCTACTGCCCCTACCAGATGTGGCCTTTTGTCGTTCAGCTGGGCTGGCGGCACTGGACCCCGATTCCTTTGGCTGGGTTTTGGAGTACTATACTTTAGTTTAATAGCTTTTTTGGGTTCTGGGTTCCCATTATAGCTACTTTTGCCAAGAAAAGGTCCATGCCTTGTTTTTTCCAGGGTCTGCTCCAAAGTAGGGTTGGGAGTATTCCACTTCTCGCTCTTCTTACATGGCATATTCTGCGTCTTGCTGTTATATATTGCAGTTATGAGCCGTAGTACCATGCATTTCCATGAGCCCTAAACCCTAAACCCTAAACCCTAAACCCTAAACCCCAAACCCCTAAACCCTAAACATGCTGTCATTGCTCCGGTTATCAACAACATCTTGCACCAATGGCTGTTGCTTTTTTAAACTTTGATTGGGGCTGGGTCATGTCGTGTCTTGGGTTTAGGGTTTAGGGTTTGGGGTTTCGGGTTTAGGGTTTAGGGTTCATGGAAATACAGGATACCGACCATGCAACCTTTCCGGTCTTTCCGATCGGTGTCATTCCTCCTGGGGCCTTGAGGGGTTGAGCCTTGCAGCAGAGCAGTAGTCTGTAGTCACGTTCGAGAAAGCTGAGTTTTGCTGGCTCGGCCCGGAAATCCCCGGAACCCATCACCCTAAACCTTGGAGCGTAGGTTTAACCCTTAGCCTCGAAACAGCTTTAAAACCGTATACCCAGAGTAACATATCATGCCTCCAAGAAAGGAAATATGTACCAACAGTTAGGGTGTATGTCCCTGCTCTTTAAGGGGTAAGGCTTGAGATGTTCCCCCCCGTACTACCAGTCCTTAATAGGGATTCTCATCGGGGGGTACTACAATCCCTTTGAGGACTGTTAGTCCCCAGGTAAAGAGGATTCTCCGGGTTCAGGATGGACTCTCAAGTCCAGAAGCGCGGTTTAGGGTTTAGGGTTTAGGGTTTAGGGTTTAGGGTTTGGGGTTTGGTACTCTTTAGACCAAGCTCGCTTCCAGGATTTCTTCGGTGCTGCCTCCCTCACAGGCCCGGGGCTCCTAAATCCCGGGGGTTAGGGCTTAGGGTTTAGGGCTTAGGGTTTAGGGTTTAGGGTTTAGGGCTTGGGGTTTCGGGTCTTGGGGATGTTTAGGGTTAAGGTTTTAAGGTTTAGGGCTTCCTGAAACCCTGCAAACCTAAACCTACCCCTAACCAGTCAACAGGAGCTTTCATTGCAATAGATGCGGTCTTGAAGCATAGGCCTGCATGGGGGTCTACGAAAATAGGCATAAACCTCCGTAGTAGGATTCCCTTACAATATGAACCTCAATAAGGTACCCCTACTAATCCCGTATAACAAGAACCCCAATAAGTACCCCCCAATATCGCAAACCCCCGCAGGGCTCGTTTGGAATGTAGGCTTTGGTTGAGGTACCTGCTTGAATAAGGTGGTTTTGTTGGGCGAAGAGCCCAAGAACCCATTCCGGTAAACTCCATACCTAGAGGTACCGTAGCCTTCATAGAACCGGAAACAAGGGAAATGTACATCAATTATTGCTTTTAGAGAGTATCCGGATTACTCTTGTTATAGCCTGGCTGGGCGGCTGTTCCTGGACCCTAAACCCTAAACCCGAAACCCTAAACCCTAAACCCTAAACCCCGGGATCAGAAGGTGAATCGCCGGGTGGCTGCGGCAATCTGCTTCCTCACGCTGGCTGTCGGCTGCCCCTGGGCTTCTGCAGGGAGTCTAGGGCTTAGGGTTTAGGGTTTAGGAATGTTGCCACCTTTGGCGTTTTGGCGTCGGGGCACGGGATACAGCCCCATGGTGTATGAAAACCCGCGCCCATATTGCTAAAAGCACACTTAAGGTCCCCTATATATATATATATGTATATATATATATATATATATAGATGTACACATCTAGAATACATCAGAATTAGGGATAGTCAGGAATTCCCAACTCCAAAAGGCCTCTAAAGCCGCTACACCTCCATAACCCCCTGTAGGCATTCCGAAAGCCACGAGAGGCCCCCCAACATGCAAGGAGAGGTTCAGGGCACAGGGCCTGAACCAAAAAGACCCTAAACCCCAAACCCCAAACCCGAAACCCTAAACCCTAAACCCCAAACCCCAAACCCGTAGCCCTAAACCCTAAACCCCAAACCCCAAACCCTAAACCCTAAACCCTCAACCCTAAACCCTAAACCCTCGAAGCCCAGGCTTGGCCTCGCTGGGCGTCTGCCTGGTGAGGTGCCTGGCGCTCTCTCTGACGGCAAAGCTTCCCAAGCGACTTTGAAGGGGGCTGAGTAGGGTTTAGGGTTTAGGGCTAGGGTTTAGGGCTAGGGTTTAAGGTTCGGGTTTAGGGTTTGCGGTTTAGGTTTCGCATTCAGGGTTTAGGGGATGTTGGGGCGCATGCCCATCCTTCCAGGGACCCAGGGAGGTACCCTTGTTATTCCTAGCCTAGTCTTGGGCATTCGTTAGGTCCCTGGAGGTGTTGGGCTTTCGTAGGGCTTAGGTTTAGGGTTTAGGGTTTAGGGTTCAGGGTTTAGGGTTTAGGGTTTATTTAGGGTCTAGGGTGTTAGGGTTTAGGGTTTAGGGTTTAGTGGGTTTATCGGAGGGAAAAGAGCTTCGAATGCCTCGCTGAGGATCTCCTGAGGAAAAGAACATTCTCTGCCGTCGGGTTCCAGGTGTACCCGGTGCATCCTGAAGTCACCTTTTTAGCCAGAGGGTCCATTTGTAGTACTATTATGGAATTAGGTACCCCAAAACCCTATTTAGTATGGCTGTTAGGTACCTACTTCCATAATAGTAATACAAATGGACCCTCTGGGATAGCTGCACTAATTTATTCGCATCCTTGTGCTTCTGGCGTAGGGTTTAGGGTTGAGGGTTTAGGGTTTAGGGTATGCTTCTGGTTTAGGGTTTAGGGTTTTCGTAGAATATACATGGGGGGGGGAGGGTGTATCTGAAACAGGTGTCGTATTTCTTGGGGTCTAAACATACGGCTCCGTCTTACAACAAGTAACAAGTCTGAAAAAAGACCACGGTGTACAGAACTGAAGCCCTACGCATGGTGGAAAGACAAGAGCACATGCGACTGCAGACATGGTACACACGGGGGTTGATCGGTTGTGTGTAACCCTAATTACCTAAACCCTAAGCCCTACACCCTACAAAGCCTAACCCTAAACTGGAGCGAGCTGCGGTGCAGAAGAGAAGAAGCTGCAGGAGATGCATTCAAGATCCGACTACAGCGATGTGCGGCATGACAACATGCCGGCTGCTCAGGGCACTCTGAGCTGTCGAGGGTCTCGGGGGGGGGGGGGTTGAGGGTTTAGGGTTTTGGGTTTTGGGTTTGGGCCAAGGGTCAAATTTCAACAGGCCCCGGAACGCTCAATGCATCATCCTAAGCCCTAAATCCAAACCCTAAATCCCAAATACACACCCTAAACCCCCCAACAAACCTAAGCGAGGCTCTAGATCGCGGAGCTCCAAGTGGTCCAAGGCCCCCCTCCGTTCCCCACCCCCCCCCCCCCACAAAAAAGAAACAAAACAAACTCTCCAAGGCTGCGTTCCATGGCCCAATACAGATCGTAAAATTCACAACCTGAAGGCCTTAAGCGGTTTAGGGTTTAAGGTTTAGGCTTTAGGGCTTTAGGCTTAGGGTTTAGAACTGCCGCCACGAGGTTGGCACATTGGTCCGCCATTTCGGGCATTCGCAAGGTGGGGTCTACGGCGATTCATGGGATACCCAGGGACTCCAATACCCCGTAATTAAGGCATTTGTTGGGATGTTCCCCCTTCTAGCAGTACGTCCTTAATGGGGATTATAATTGGGGGGGGTACTATAGTCCCTAATAATTAAGGACTGTTATAAGTGTAAGGGGGAAAATCTCCAGGAATTTTCCTCAAATTATGCCTAAAGGGCCCCTTGTATGGTATAGCAAATATTCCTGAAATTGCGGAGTATTGGGGTCTTTAGGTTGGTGGGTTGGGTGCAGATGAGTGGTTCATAAGGGTCCCTTTTTGGGATCCCTCTTTAAAGGGTTTCGCCTTGTAATTGGGTACCTAAACACTGGCATGAATTTCTGAAACTACCCAGATGTTTAGGTTCACCTTGTGCAGCCTCTATGCTTAACCTTCCAAGACCCTAAACCCTAAACCCTAAACCCTAAACCCTAAACCCTAAACCCTAAACCCTAAACCCTACGTACTGGTCGACTTCCTCCTGTCTGAGGGACAGGCTGCGCTGCTATGTTGGAAGGGTTGGTGCATGGGTTTAGGGTTTAGGGTTTAGGGTTTAGGGTTTAGGGTTTAGGGTTTAGGGTTTATTTAGGGTCGTTGGGTTTATGGCGTTTGTAGGGCCGCCGGGTCTCAGAGATTTTCCCCAAGAATGCAAAAACTTGCCTCTCGGAGGTAGGCCCTCGTGAGATGATATGTTCCCTTTTTGTAAGAGGCTCTCAACAAACTAAGGGAGAGACCGTGATATGGTACCTTGGGGGTTGTTTAGGGGCTACTTGGGTAAAAATGGACTATATAAGGTATATATGTATATATGGGTTGTATAGGGGAATAAGATTAAGGGTCCCTGCTGACGTCCCTCCTTATACCCTTGTAGGCATCCTTTTTAGGAACATTTTTCAGGTCTAGGGTTTAGGGTTTAGGGTTGAGGGTTTAGGGTTTAGGGTTTAGGGTTTAGGGTTTAGGGCTTAGGGTTTAGGGTGTAGGCTTGGGGTTTTAAGGGCCATCCCAGTTCTTGCGTCTCCGGCGATGCTTTGCACAGACGTTTTCTTTCGGGGTTTAGGGATGGGGTGTTTTTCTATGAACCGCAGGGTACAGATGCCTAGTCAAAGGGGTTTAGGGGGCTTTCTCCAAGATTTTGGCGCCGTGGAAGTTCTGCTATGCTAGACCCTGATCCCTAAACCCTATAAACCTTAAAGACCCAAAACCCTAAACCTTAAACCCTAAACCCTCAGCCCTAAGTCCTAAATCCTAAGCCCTACTCAAGTTTCCTGAACCCCCAAAGCTACGAAAGAGATCGCGAATTTGGCGACTTGCAACCCTAAACCCTAAACCCTAAACCCTAAACCCTAAACCCTAAACCCTAAACCCTAAACCCTAAACCCTAAACCCTTGGCAGCCGATCGTGGCCGCCGTGGGTGGCTTCGCCCTTGGTGGCGGCTGCGAGCTCGTCTTGCCCTCAGGCCATCTGGGGCTCAACGGGGTTTTAGGTTCTGGGGTTTAGGGTTTAGGGTTTAGGGTTTAGGGCTTAGGGTTTAGGGTTTAGGGTTTAGGGTTTAGGGTTTAGGGTTTAGGGTTTAGGGTTTAGGGTTTAGGGTGTTAGGGTGTTAGGGTGTTAGGGTGTTAGGGTGTTAGGGTGTTAGGGTTTAGGGTTTAGGGTGTTGGGGTTTAGGGTCTAGGGTGTTCGGGTTTAGGGTTTAGGGGTTTAGGGTTTAGGGTTTAGGGTTTGGGGGTTTAGGGGTTCTGGGTTTTCGGGGTTCTGGGGTTTTAGGGGTTCAGGGTTTAGTAGGTTGAGGTGCTTGGGGGTTTGGGGTTTTAGGGTGTTCGGGTTTAGGGTTTGTAAGGGTACTCAACGCGCAAGGAGAGCTGGAGCGGAAGCTCTGTCCTAATGCATCGAGGTGGCCCTATGCGGAACAGGGAGACGCCCGTCCGAAGAAAGCAAATCTGGGGTGGGGGGGGGGGGGGGGCTGGGGCCTCCCTTCCCGACACGGTCGCAGGCAGTGCCCTCCTGGTGGGGATGGGGTTACTCTACTGCTCAGGGTTTAGCGTTTAGGGTTCAGGGTTTAGCCACATGCCAGACTCCCAGTATTCCTTCCTCATGTGCCATCGTATAGGAAAGTGGGGCTTGTTGCCGCGCGGAGGCCCTCAACCCTCAACCCTAAACCCTAGCTGCACATGTTCACCAGGTTGAGATCCATGTAGGTAAATACGAAACCGCTTGGGCTCGGGCGACAGGACTTTTAAACCCGATCCAAACCCTAAACCTGCCGGCTGCGCGCTGCTTCAGTATACCTCAAACTCTAGGTGGTCCAACCTTCCAGCCCTGGACCCGAAACCTGAAATTTGCTACATTTCTAAACCCTAAGCCCTAAATTCCTAAACTCAACATTCCTAAAGTTCCCAAACCCCACCCCCCCCCCCCACCCCCCCCAAATTCCTAAATTCCTAAACATTAGCACTTAATTCCTACACCCGTAAACCCCTGAAACCCTAAAACCCTAAACCCCTGAACCCCTAAAACCCTACACCCTGAACCCGAAACCCTAAACCCTAAACCCTAAACCCTAAACCCTAAACCCTAAACCCTAAACCCTAAACCCTAAACCCTAAACCCTAAACCCTGAGCAAGCTGAGCCTCCGAAGCCGAATCTCTCAGGCCATGTCGTGCGACATCATCATCGCCTCAGAGGTCCCGCCCAGGTTTTCCCAGAGGAGCCATAGCTTCTCATCTAGGGTTTAGGGTTTAGGGTTTAGGGTTTAGGGTTTAGGGTTTAGGGTTTAGGGTTTAGGGTTTAGGGTTTAGGGTTTAGGGTTTAGGGTTTCCGGAAGCCCTGCTTTCTAGGCGCCGATTCGGTTCGGGTTCAGGGTTCAGGGCTCTTGCGTGTTTGTGTGTGTGTGTGTGTGTGTGTGTGTGTGTTCCTAAAACACAAACTCAAATCGCAGGGGGGTTTATGTTTGGGGGTTCCGACAATTGGGGTTTGGGTTTGGGGTTGCCTATTCTCTGAGGGGTGAAGCCCTTTCTTAAGGGTGGTTCTGAGTTGTGGGGTCTACAAAGGGAGCCTAGTCATCGGAGCCCTTGACACGGAGGCGGCCAAATTCGGACAGCCTGAGATCAAGCTGGGGACAATCCCCGGCGTCGGCGGCACGCCAGCGACCCATTGAGTCATGTAGGTTCAGGGTTTATAGAGGTTTAGGAGAAGGTGTCAACATTCTGCTCCTGTACCTATTCCTAAGGGTCCATTTATTTGGGTTTATGGGGTTTACGTGGCTCCAAGGGTTTAGTTGTCCTGTCTGCCCGAAGCCTACGTACGATTGTCAACCTATATACCCTTGAGAAAAGGTATATGTGCCTTAATCATTGGCATCCTTCCCTTCTAAAGTGATATGGTCAGCAGTTGTCTCACATATGGTCCCTTTTGAGGTCCTTATTATGCGGCGGCCCCAAGTAAGTATTCGGGTACCCCAAAAAGGGACCATCATCTTGAGATCTCACGAAATGCCTAAGGGCCCAAGACCACAAATAGTAAGGTCGTTGGGCCCCAAAACCGATGAAAGGCCTTAAACAACTCTAGGACCTTGGGCCCTTGGGGAAGGTTGCTAGGCAGGCCCTTGGGATATTTTGTACTTTCCCTAATTGGGTTTAAGAGGATCCTGTTTTAGGAAAATTTTTCAGAGGGTTTTAAGGGCCATCCTAGGTTAGGACAAATTCTAACGCTACGCGACCCGCCTCGGCCCGGCCCAGCGCATCCGCGTGAGCATGGTGATTCCGCAGCGCCCAAGTCGCTGGACCCCAAGCAGTAAGGATTGGGTTTAGGGTTTAGGGTTCCGGGTTTATGGTTTATGGTTTTGGGTTTAGGGTTGAGGGTTAGTTTAGGGTTTAGGAGGGGGGCTGCCTGTTCTGACACCCTATACACCTTCGGCCCGAGGCCTCGGCGGATTTTGCTCCGCATCCTTCCCAGGCAGAGATTGGTTCGCGCCATCGGCAAGTCCAAAGCCATGGAGTTGCTTGTCTTCAAATTGATATTTACGATTTAATGGGTTTGGGGTTTAGGGTTTAGGGTTTAGGGTTTAGGGATACTGGGCCTCCGGAACCCTCCCCCAGACAGCAAGATCCCACCCAGGTTTGTGTTTTAGGGTTTTGGGTTTAGGGTTTATGGTTTGGGGATACTGGGCCCCCAGAACCCAGCCGAATCTCTAAGAAACCTGGCATCTTAACCTTCCGGAAGCCTGAAACCCTCACTTCTCCATATCACCCCCCAAACCTTACCCGAAACCCTGAACCCGAAACCCTAAACCCTAAACCCTAAAGCGACTACGAATCCAAGGCTGGTGCTCACTGGTGACATGCTCTCTGCCGAGGAGGCCAGGGGAGGAGGCTGAAGCGGGTGTCTTCCTTGTTTTCTGGGGCGCCTACTTTTCTTGCCGCTGTAATACCTCCGTGCAAAGTAGGTGCCCGAAGCAAAGAGCCACAATATTGGAGGTCTAGATGCCACAATCAAGCCAAGAGGCGATGTAGTCCCATCCCGATCTCCTACATGCGGACCCCTTATGTTGAGGGCAACTATTTGCCACCTGCTCAGCCACGTTCTGGGGCTGAAGGGTCAGAATCATTTTGGGTGGCTCTGTGCCGACACGAGCTCTGCCGTGGCAGGCCGAGAAAGCCGGACTAGTTTCTCGCGTGGCGTGCAGCCCAGTCAACGACTAGAGTTGTCGAAGATGGATCTCGAGGGTTGAAGCCTGTGGCTAGTTCAGACGCTCGACACACTTCGCCTGCACTGTGGCGACCCAGAGATGCCTTCTACTGAGGGTCAAGATGGTGCCAAATACACCCCACCCTGCTTGGTAGACCCTCTCTAGACGCTAAACCCTAAACCCTAAACCCTAAACCCTAAACCCTCCCTAAACCCTAAACCCTAAACCCTGTATCTGGGCTCTGGGCCCGAATCCGAGGTCCCCGCCGGGTCTGAGGTCGATGAGGCAACGGGTGATGAGCTTCCATGATCATCTTGCTAGCCCAGTGGTACCCTTTGCCCCCGTTCTTGGTTCACGCTTTCTTGGTTCAAGGTTCCCTTGTAAAGTAACCACTAGGATGCCCAGTAGTACCCTTATTCCCTTTTTGGTAGGTTTAGGTTCCCTTAGAAACCCCTTTAAGCAAAAAAGTGCACCCTTTTTCATCCTAGGTTACTGGGCAACCTAGACCAACCCCAAGAAAGTGTTGCCCTTATTGTAATATGCCTACTGGGCTACCAAGTCACTGAAGCAAGTACGGATCGAGGGCTTAGGGTTTAAGTTAAGGCATATGGGGGGTCAGGGGGGGGGGGGGGGATTCTCTCAATTTCGGTCCTCTTTTGGGTCGCAAAAGTATGAGGTTCCCGATGATAGTAGGAGCCAAAAAAAGGGATCCTGAGTTCGGGAACCTCCCAGATCCCTCGAACCCGCAGCCCTAGATCCTACGATTACAAGGATGAATATTCCCAACTTCAATGGATATTGGAGTCTTTAGGTGGATGCATCCTCCTGGTTATCCTCGAACAGCTAGTGTTTTTTTTGCGTTCGGAGTGTAGGTTTGGGTTTTGGGTTTTTGGAGTTGGTCTTAGGGACATTCATACCTGCCACTCAGTTCCCTGAACCGTTTGAGCCCTGAGCCCCAAGTCCTCAACTGGCCACACTCCTGAATCCATCTAAAGTAATCATTCAAAAGCTCCATCAGTTTCAAGCCTTCAAATTCGGTGGGTAGCTTATGGGGCCTTAAAAAGTGAACATATACACGTTGCTTTGATTGTAATTGCCATTGAGGACTTCATGTTTCTTGGATTCTTTAAGGAAGCACGCCCTGGATGGCCAACCTTCAAAATACTACAGCCCTCAAGCAGAAGTACGCCAAGCTCTACCCCTAAACCCTAAACCCTAAACCCTAAACCCTAAACCCTAAACCCTAAACTCCCCGTAACTCACGCGAAGCCCTACAGTTTAACCCCTGAGCCCCGTATCACAGGCCTTGAAGGTCGCGGAGAAGATCGCCTCCTTTTCCGTCCCTGTGGTCCAGCTGGCGAAGGAGAGAAACCGGTTCCTAAACCCTAAACCCTAAACCCTAAACCCTAAACCCTAAACCCTAAGCTTCGTTTTGGAGGGCAGGGCCGCGGTGGGCTGATATAGGGGTCGGAATAAGTACTACTAGTATTCCCCTATGGTCCCTTTGCCGGGTTGTGCTTGGGGATGTTTTTTTACTTTCCTTATAAGGGAACCTATTCATTAATCATTTTCAAAGGGCTTAAAGCACAACCCAGTTTAGAAGTATACTAGAACAACCCCCCCCCCCCCCAAAAAAAAAAAAACAAAAAAAACAAAAACCTGTTCGAATTATTAAGGCTCCTGCAGTACCCACAAGCTCCCTTCTAAAGGCCCTCTGCCGGGCAGCTGTTACAAAAACTGGCTGGTACTAAGTAGGGAATGAGGGAATGAGGCAATGAGGGCCCTACATATACCCTTTAAGGGATCATATGGGGGGCCCTCATTCTCCTCATTCCCTACTAAGAACCAGGGGCAAAAGAGCCCTCCTGTGCGCAGGAGTGCATCAACGCCTCGCAGGAGATGAGCTTGGCCGAGGGACTCAGGTGCCCTGAGCCCTCAGCGCTTCATTTTGTTGTAGGTTTTTTTTTTTGGAGGGGGGGGTTTAGGGTTTAGGGTTTAGGGTTTAGGGTTTAGGGTTTAGGGTTTAGGGTTTAGGGGTTAGGGTTAGGGGTTTAGGGGTTTAGGGGTTTAGGGGTTTAGGGGTTTAGGTGTTGGGCATTCCCAAGAAAATCCCAACGCCAACAGTCTAATGATCTCCCGTCAGGCTGACAACCCCTGTCCCCTATCCCCCTAAACCCCCATGAACCCGAAACCCTGAACAGGCACGTTTTCTTCCTGGTATGTAGGTCATTGCAATTAGGTAGGCCCTTGGGACATTTTAGTGTAGTTTTCTTGTTGGGGTTCAAGGGGATCATA